ACCCCAATGTGAAGTGAGATGTGCTACTTGGACTCATGTCTGAGGAAGATGCTGAGCAGGTACAACCTTGGTCTGTCCATGTACTGAGTGAGCTCAGAGCCAAGTGTCTGTACTGGTGCATCCAGCACAGAGGACAGCTTCAGATACACCCAAAGGACTCTGGTGCAGAAGGCAGAACCAGGGATGAGCTATCTAATCTCACATCAGAGATACCTTCACAGATGAGTTCAGAAAGTGTCTAGAAATTTTGGTCCTGAGAGCATCTCCTGCATTTATTTCCAAAAGTGGAGTAACTGGATGCCCAACCAGTAACTCAGTTGAGATGACCAAAGCTTGTATGCATCTTTCAGGAACTCTGAGCTCAGACCTGTCTGCCCACTGCCTACCAGCTATTACATCACCTCACCAGAACCCTGCTTCCAAGTTCTGTTTGTTTTCACAGTGTGCATCCGAGCTCTGATGTGCTGCAGAATGCAGTTCCATACGGATATTTACTACCTATTGTTTTAGAAGAGCCAAGCTATTTTTCTTTTCCAAACTGTAGAAATCACTCTCATTCTCCTCCACATACACAACTCTCTTTTGTTTGTCTCCTAACTTGCTGTGCTTGGCCTCTGGCCAGAATCCCTTCTTCTGCCTCGAAGAAGGGTGACAACACGTCTTTGAAGAAACGCCAAGGCTGCTGTTGGGCTGACCAGCAGGGAGCAATCCTGCCCAACACTCCCTGGCCTCTCCCACATTGCTCTCCTCCTTTCCCAGAAACATTCAGTCTCAGAGAAGGCAGAGGTTGAGCTGATCACAATTCCCAGAAGAGATTTTTAAGTAACAGATGAAGTTTAAGCACACACAGAGAATGCTGGAGCTGGAAGAGACATCAGAAGATCATCTAGACCATCCTCTTGCCTAAGGCAAATCCAGCTGTACCTACAAGACACTGCTGACAGATATTTCTCTGTCTGGTTCTTACCAGCTTCCAGTCACAGGCAGTAACATTTCTGCAAGCAGTCTAGTCCAGCACATGACTTACCATCAGAAAGCTTTGGTAAATCTACTTTTTCTTCAATTTAATCCTGGATCAAGAGCAGCCCTGAGGAGAAGGACTTGGGGTGCTGGTGGATGAGAAGCTCAACATGAGCCAGCAACGTGCGCTGGCAGCACAGAGGCCAATAACCGTGTCCTGGGCTGCACCCAGAGCAGCGTGGGCAGCAGGTGGAGGGAGGGGATTCTGCCCCTCTGCTCCACTCTCCTGAGACCCCACCTGAAGTGCTGCCTCCAACAGTGCTGTTCTGGGGCCACCAACAGCAGAAGGACATGGACCTACTGGAGCCAGTCCAGAGGCCACGAGGATGATGTGAGGGCTGGAGCAGCTCTGCTGTGAGGACAGGCTGAGAGAGTTGGGGCTGTTCAGCCTGGAGAAGAGAAGGCTCCAGGGAGACCTTCTAGCAGCCTCCCAGTACCTGAAGGGGCTCCAGGAAGGCTGGGGAGGGACTTTGGCCAAGGGCAGGGAGTGACAGAACAAGGGGTAATGGCTTTCAGCTAGAAGAAGGTAGATTTAGTTGAGATGTGAGGAAGAAATTCTTTGGTGTGAGGGTGGTGAGACAGTGTTCCATGTTGCCCAGAGAAGCTGTGGCTGCTCCTCCCTGGAAGTGTTGAAGGCCAGGCTGGATGCGGCTTTGAGCAACCTGGTCTAGTGGAAGGTGTCCCTGCTGCTGGCAGGGGGGTTGGAACTGGATGAGCTCTAAGGTCCCATCCAACCCAAACCATTCTGTGATTCTATGATCCTGTCAGTTCTTGTCTGAATAAGGACATGGAGAATCCATTCATTATATCGTTCAGTTTCTAACAGTACTTTATAGTACAGAGAAGCAATCTGTAACTGGTTACCCTGGTCATGGTGCCTGTACTTTTTGTATCTACAAAACCACCAGTCATCTCCATTGGCATAGTGCCTTTATCATCAGCACAGTAACCGTTCAGCACAACCTCAGAGAGATGACCATGGGTTCACTGGCTTTATGTCCCACAGTGTCTTATGTCTTTTCTTGGGAGATCTCCCTCTGGCCACCTAACAGCCCTAACCCCACTAACCGTAGAGGATGGACTTGCTCACATGCTAACACTGCTACACACTTATAGTAAGGGGTGAAACACAAAAAATTGTGAAAAACTAAAAACCTTTTCTGCACAAGACAAGGGCGTTACAGAGAGTCCAATAATATATTTCCTGCGTTACT